CGTATTCTTGTGTGGACGGAACCTGGATCTGCCTCTCGACTTCAACCTGTTGATTATCCTGTCTTGCTTCATTAGCTCGGATCTTGTCTCCTGTCGGCTTTGCAGCCTTCTGGGCTTTGGAGTCTGGGACTCTCAGGCAGTGTCCTCTGGGTTTGTTCAGTCAACAGGCTGGAGTCATCCTCATTCCTGCTTTAGACACCCTTCAGACGCATCAGCAGAGCCACTGCAGAATCGGTCCGTTCTTTGTCTGAATAAACTTTTTAAGTAATCCACTGTCTGTCTCGCCTTTATTCTTGCTCCTATGTTCGGAGCCTATTACAATAAGCTGTTGTATTAAATATTAAAATCAGAGCACTTTGGCTATGATATGTTTAAACAAAAAACATTATTTTTTTTAACTCAAGGCATTTCATTGAATTATAAACTATTCAACAACAGAAGTAACAGTTAATTTATTGGTGTTTTATTGGTAAGAGTATTTACCACTGACTTTAGTTAAGCCCTTTACCTTAGCAGAAGTCCTGGGAAATGGTATTGCGATTTCAAATAAATAATTCAGTGGGAGTTTTACTTTTCCGTATTCTTCTCATATTCTGAGACATCCATAGTTTTTCCCCCCTAAAATGTTTCTACAGATGTGCTTATAAAAGCATTTTTTTCTTACATGATGTTTCCCTTAACACCCCCGCCCCCACCTTCTTTTCATAATGGGTAGCTCATACTTGCTACAAGTTAACTGCCTTCAGGAGTCGATGTTTCTGACAAGCCTATCATAACTTTTAGGCTCGAGGATAAAAACACCCAGTCAAGGCAAATTTCCTAAAGGCTATTGTAGCATCAGCTCATAATTTTGAAACTTTTTGCATTGATTCTTTGATTTGATGACAGATAAGCTACATGCATTCATCAATCTACTAATTTTACTGTCCTGTTTGGGTTACAATGTTCAGGTAATGAGGAAATGAAAGTACATTTTGACCCTTCCTGAACTCTCACTTCAGTTTACATGTTTTCTTATTAGAGTGAAGTTTGGAAGGTCAGTTTTTTTTCTTTTAACAGTGTCCTGTCTGGCAATGTGGAAATAACAATAATTGTCTTGATGCCAAACAGAGCCCAAGAGATTATGTTTCCACATGTGAAGAAGTAGGACTATCGCCAGAGTTGATTTATGGATATAAATAGCTTTATTATAATTCATGCAGGGAGTATTTCAGATTATATGAACACTGCAATATAAGTAGAAAAGGAAAGGAAAAACAGAAAAAAGGAGAAAAAATGAAAGAAAGAGGAGATAAAACGGAGACAATGATGAAACATCTTCAGTCTGTTTCATCACCTGCAAAGAGATGGAAAAAGAACAGCACAACCAACGGATATAGTATAAGAGATACAATAAAGTAGCACCTTGATACTATTGCCAAAGTATAAGTATTATTTAATCTGACATGTATTCGGTGGTAGCTGAAGATCAGAATATGGGCTTTTTGTATGGAAGTGAATCTCTAAGTACCTGGAACCAAGCACCTGTAGTAGTTTGTGAGAGTGCACTTGTGCATGTAAAGTTTATCTAAATAGAAAATGCTCAATAGTGGTTGTGAAGAGCCGAAGAGGCGTCCCCCCCAGAGAACCGAGGCGAGCGCTGGGGGACCCAAAGCCCCAGATGCCCAAAGGGACCCCAAGAGCAAAGGCACCCAGGAGGGGCCAACCGAGGAAATCCGTCCTGCCACCAAGGGAGGAGGTGGATGACCCCGAGGATATTTCCCAGCCACTGCAACGCTGGAGCCCCCGGGAGCCACGGGGAGTCTGCGGGCGCTGCCCGCAGCAAGCCACCCTGCATTGAATCCGGCCTTTGGCCCCAGGAACCCGAGGCCCCAGGGGCACCCCACCCCTCAGCGGGAGCCCCGGCCGGGTCCCGGAGCAGCCGACAGGAATAAGCCAGTACCCACCCAGGCATGCACCCCCTAACACCAAGCATCACCAGTGTGCTGGTGAGCCCAGGCGCCAGCCAGCAGAGGAAGGGCAGGACGGGGGAATGGGCTCCGCACTTAGCGGAGACTTGAGATGTTCTCGGGAGAGGGAGCAGTTATAACTACAACCTCATAAAAAAAATACACAGTCTCAATCATGCCTGCCCTTGCTAGTGCCCCCACTTGCAACACATTCTCTGTGAAGAGGAAGAGAAAGAAAAAAAAACGCGGACACACATTCACACATAACACTCACATGTTACAATCCCAGGACTGAGGACCCAGGCGGTGGCTGGTCCCAGGATTACCGGATGACCCAATAGGTGAACCTATGGGGGGGGGGAGCAGTGTCACCGCCATATCAACCCATCTAGTTCAAGCTTCGGGCCCGGACCCCACCCCACACCCAGACCAGAGGCCCCCCCCAAAAGCCCCCCCGAGAACAGGGACCACATGTCCTGCACAGGGCACCCAACCAGAGCCCCCCAAATAATTGCCCTGGCCACTTCTTCCCCCTCAATATCCCATCCGCCCATACCTCCACCCCCCTTTTGTGGAGAGCAGAAATGTCAGCCAATCCAGGCTCCCCAACAACCCCCCGCCAAAAAACCAGGCCTTAGACTCCGGGCACCAGCCGGAGAACAGGGGTGTGAGAAGACCTCGATCCTCCCTGCGCCTGCTCGAATGTGGTGTTTTTGTGTGTTGCTCTCAGGTGTAATTAAAACTGGGAGTACCAGAGTCCCCTCTAGAGGACAGGCCGGTGCCAGCTCACCCCCCCAATCGACAACCCAGAACCCTCAATGTCTAAATGCAAGAGGATGTGGGGGGAACCATCTGAGGTGACGCCCACAAATTAAACCCCCACCCCGGTATCCTTGACCCCCACACCCCCAGACAATGCCCTACATAGATGTGTGTTATTAAAATGTTGTCGATGAAATAGTCTAAAATTCAAAATAAAATTGGGGTGGGGGACGTCATTAGAAGGTGGGACCCTCCAGTAACTACCCCCTCCTCAAGATCCTACATGTGTGGCACTGTGAGAGAGCAGGCAGAGAAGGAGTCTGGGGGTGGGGAGAAAAGGACTGGGGGGCTTACTGCACTCCCAGGGACCCAGCTCCCCTGCTGACTCCGATAGGCAACCCCATTCCCCGAGAGCCCCCCTGGAGAGAGGGGGCCCACCAGGCACACCACCATAGCCCGTTGGCCAGAAACAGGTGGCAGAGCCCATGAGCCAGCTGGCCACCAGGGCCAACACCGTCACCTGCCCATCCTGTCCCTCCATCGTACCTCCTGGCTTTCCTGAAAAAAGAAAAAAAAAAAAACTCTGGCTGGCCAGCCCATGTGTACCATGCAGAACCCCGGCTGAAGCACGCACCAGGGGATGGCATGGACCAGGACTGAGACAGGGAGCCAGACCCGAAGCCCTTCAAACATCCACATCACACCCCCACCCCCCACCGGAAATGTAATCCCTCCCCAAAATTAATATTGACGATAGATAACCAGGCTGGGATCATTCCCACTCCCCTCACTCCACTTCCACCACTAGCAGAGTGCATACCCCTATAAGGGTTAGCATCTGTCATAAGATGTTAATGTCCATTCCCCCTACAAGCTCAACAGGGACGGACAACGAGGTGTACACCAGCCAAGACCCCAAGCAGCATAACCCACAGGACATCCCGAGGGCAACGCACCCCAGCGACCCCAAACCCTCGTACCCACCCAGCGGCAGCTCCGCTACCAGGCCAGTAACCCACATCTGTCGCTACGGAACCCCCCAAGAGCAACGCAAGTAGCCGCTGTAGGATGCCCTGAGGCATCCCAAGCCCTTACCCGACGGGGGCCACTGACTCCGGGGTCAGATCCGCCAGGCACCCCACTCAAAGCACCCCCCCAGAGCCCTAGGACCCAGGGACCCCCGAACCAGCCCTGCAGGACACGTGTCGCCCACTACACTAAGTGATGGAGCCGATCAAGGGAGCCCAGAGAGATCGGTCTGATGGAGATGAAGATGCTGTCTCTAGATTAATATGATCCAACAACAGATCTCTGTACTGATTGATGCTGAGTTTAACCTTACTTTTCCAATTCATGAGGATAGTTTTCTTTGCGATACATAATGCAGTGAAGGCCATGCAGACAATTTTTTTTTCCATAGAGCTTCCCTCAAAGTCACCCAGCAAGCAAACTGAAGGGGAAAGTGAGATTTTACAACCCAGGCACAGTGATAGGTCCTTACATACCTGTACCCAGAACCTCTGAACCGGCGTGCATAACCATATTTTTAAAACATGAATGCCGCTTAATATTAGAGCTAATAAACGGCAAATCTGATATTATATTGCATATTTCCTGTTCTGTGTCTATCCAGGGCTCATCTAAGGGATTATGTTTTATCCATTTAGAGATGTAATGTAATGTATTTGCTAAGTAGTAGTTTTGGAAGTTTGGTAAATCTAGTCCCACTCTGTCTTTAGTTTTCGGTAGTGTCTTTAAGCTGATACGAGGGGGGTTATCCTTCCAAAGAAATTTAGAGATGGAAGAATCTAGATTTAAACCAGTCAGATGATGGTATATTGGGGATCATTGAAAATAAGTAGTTAATTCTAGGTAAGTGTCATGGTCCTGGCACTGGTGGCTTGATTGCTTATTCCACCCTCCTGTTTAACTCTGCCTGTTCTCTCATCAATACTTATCCGATCAACCTTGTTCCAGCTCCTATATATACTGTTTGTTTTCAAGCTACCAGTGCTACCTTGGAGATCAGATTTTGTTGGTTAATATTGTGGGTTTGGGACCCTTATAGAGTTACAGACTGTAAATAGTTTGCTTACAGTTCAATACATGTACAGAATATATGTGCAGATTCTGTTAGATGTTGTGTTTGGAAAGAAAAAAAAATGTAAAATCGGTATGTGTACTTGTATGGCAAAAAATATTTTTAATAAAAAGTGCATATATCAAAAAATAAATAAATAAAGTGGACCAAAAGGAGGCAGTAAGTAAGAAGGAACAGGGTTGGGTTACCTGAAGTAGATCGGCTATAGCCAGGTTCATCATGAACACCACAGCCCTCTTGGTTTCCCGTATGTAGATCCTAAACACCCACAGTGCCAGAACGTTACCCAGCAGGCCAGGTGCTAAAATCACACCATACACAATGGCGTACACATTGTGCTGGTATTCCTTCAGCCCTTCTTCATCAGAACAGTTGCTGATGTTCATCTTAGGAAAATTAGCTGCGTTTCCTTCTTTCAGAAACGCTGTCTTTGCACTGCTGAAAGTTCAATTCGGGAACCCATGCTGTTAATTAAATAAAGGAGTCCATGTGGCAAGTCATATTCCCAAACATCACAGCAGCATGTAGAGATGAATGGTGTCTTCAGGATTGTCTTTATTCCAACGCTGATAGTTTGCAGGTCCTCTGGTTAGAAGAGGGTATTCTAATAGAAGAGATTAGAATCAATAAAGTAAAAGGTAAAAAGTCTCATCTATCTAGAAAAACACTTTGCAAAGATAGAGAAAAGTATCTAGTCTCTTTCTCCGGTATGAATTGCTTCATCTCTAATGGACGATAATAAATTAACTTCCTCTCCCTGTCCAGGCTTAGAGATAAACATAACTCAGAGAGTGAACTGGCCCTGTCCCTATCAATGCAGTGATACTTAAAGCTTAGCTTGATGCTTTGGTATCAGCCTCTATCGGCCACAGGATTTACATACAGCCCAGATAGCCGTCAGGTTATGAAAAAGAGCCTTTTCACTGATTCCAACACTGATGTCATTGTCAATAATCAGTCACACGCCCATGCACAAACACACATACACCTGTTGGATGGTTCCTCGAATTGTTGCGTCTGCCTCTGCCATACTTAACTGTAATTCATGTAAACAACTGTGTGTGAGCCGCTCTCTCAGGGGCCTGTCCAGTAAATTATGCAAACTCCCAGAGATGTAGATGCTACAATCTCCCACACACTGTTTACTGCTGTGTGCCTCAACTTGCACAACATCTCACCACTAGCCTGTGTCAAGTACGTAAGCCCAAAGCCCCAGTGAAACCAGGTTAGCACAAACACGACAGGTGATGGGTTAACAGCACATGCAAAGCTGGCACATTTCCGCCCTGTAAGACTCAGTGGATCGCTTCTGTGGGTAACACCCCGCTCTGAAACTTTTAGATCAAAATTTACAAAGACAAGCTGCAGATGTTCCCCAGGAAGCTCAGTAATATAAAACCTGCTGCAACATTTAAAGATGCTGCTTTACACTATGTGTACGATACAGCTTGTTCTATAAATACTCCTTTAAATGTGATGCTCTGTTTATCATGATCCCCATCAAAGCAGAACTTCTCGTAACCATGGTGCTTTTAGTGTACTTTTTTCCCACTGTTAAGTGTTAGCTTGTAAAATTAATTGACTTAGCAAAAATATTTTAAAACATGTTTTAATTTATAGAGACAAACAGTATTTTTTCAATAGGCAATGTAAATAATTTTTTCAAATGAATGAACATGAGTTTCAGTTTGAATGGCCTTTTTCAGAATGAATGGAAAAAATAAATTTGAAATTGCTCTTTGATTTACTAGAATTAGAATAGAATTCAACTTTATTGTCATTACACTGTCACAAGCATAAAGCAATGAAATTCCCTCTCTTCATCTAACCCCTCCCTTTGGGGAGCAGTGGGCTGCCATTGTGCGGCACCCAGGGAGCAGTGTGGGGTTAAGGGTCTT